TAGACACTGAATTGGGAAGCAATGACACTCCAGCCATGGACACTCTAAATTCCAACCAACAAACACATGCCACATGCAGCAGAAGCTCGTGCAGTATCAACAGCAATTTGTTGTTGCTTTTAGTGATTTTTTTTGTTTGTTTGTTTGGCCAACAACAATGTGCCAATGCCCAAAAACCAAATACAGTCAGTGGAAATAAAATAAAAATGTGCAACAGAAGCTTTGAATTATTTGGTGGGTTTTTCTTTTTTTGGTGTTTTGGAAAAATGTAGCAGCAGCAGAAACTTCAACTGAAATTGAGGTTTCTACCGTTTCTTGGGCGATCAAGTAAATGGCAACACGGAAAACTGCTCGAAGAGACATTTGATATATGTTAGTTGGGTGTAGAGTGATAGAGAGTGAGTCAGTTTGTGTATATAACTTTTGAGGTATTTTGTGCTACAATTTGCACAGTAGTTTCAAAGATACAGGGTGAGATGAAAAAAACTGCAACCAAATTCAGACTGCTGTCATTTCAAAACCACTCGTCCGACAGCTGTTAAAATTATTCCAGTGACAGCTCATTATATTTTTGGTTAGAATTTACCAGAAAAAAATTATTCGTGATGGCATTCAAGCGTGATAGTGTGAATTATTTATATTTGGCTGGAAAATCACAAGTGGCTATCGTTAGAGCCCTCCAGCATTTAAATGTGAATAAATCTTTTGTGTCTCGTACCATCGCTCGTTACCGTGACACTGGTAGCGTAGCCTGACGTCAAGAAAGTGGACGAAATAAAATAATCTGGGGGTGTCTTAATGCCTTGAGCACGCAAACATTTTTGCAGCAGACCTTGGCCATTCCAACAGGACGATCGCACTCAGCGCCACCCAAAAATGGTTACAAAATGAGGTTCCTCGCTTCATTTCCAGAGCACAATAACCACTAAAATCTCCGGATTCCAATCCGTTGGACTATTGTGTCTGGAGCATTTTGGAAAGCAAGGTACTAAAAAATACGAAAATATCGATCACCGCAAGTAAGCGCTTCGCCGGGAATGAGTCAAAATACCACAGAGCAACATTCGGGCTGCGTGTGACATGGCCATAATTTGTGCTAAAGATGACCAATTCGAACAGGTCTAAACTTATTCTAAAATTTGATGCTATTTCCGACATTTTTTGCTTCCATTCAACAAATTAAAAAAAAAAAACAAGTAAGCAAAGGCTATAGTCGTGCGGGGTCGACCATGTGATACCCTACAACACTACAATATGTTAGAAGTTTCTTTATATCCAAATCCATTGTGGAAGATTTCGCTTTTGAAATTATGTCATGGAGCACTAACCAGGTATTACCCTTAGCATTTTGACCAGGGACATTTTCCCAATATTTATGCACTCCGTCGTGCTGTTAGTTTTTTTTTTTTTTTGGTTCCGTTTTGCAGCTAAATATAAATCCAATGGTCATCCAAAATGCCGGAATTTTTCCCTGTGCTTACCTATACTCACAGGCGTGTCGATTGGCTTTAATTGTGTGATCAGGATTTTTTTTCTGTTTTTAGTTCATTGGAACCCCCAAATATTTTGGTCGAAATTGTAACCTGTAGAGCAACTGCAAAAACAGGAAATTTTTCAGTTTTAGATCCATTTCAACTCCTAAATATTATGCGATCATTTCCAAAAGATATAGGGTTCTATTCTGACCTTAACTCCGCCTACATTCTAAATTTCGTGAAGATCGGGCCATAATTGCGACCTATAGAGTGATTACAAATTAACATGGACAGACAGACAGACGGACGGGCGGACATACATAGTTAGATCGACTCAGCTCGGCGAGATACAAAGATCCATATATACTTTCCTATGTGGGAAGCCAATATTTCGAGGTGTTACATAATTTTTTGCCCGATCAAACTTATAAACTCCCAACACATAGTGTTTTGGGGTATAAAAATGTAAAAATGATAATGTAAATAATCTCACCCTCTAGTTGACACGATACATTTTCTGCAACCACACATACATTTTCGTCCATGCTTGATGTAAAGGTGGCGTATGATTTACCTAAATTACTTCAATACGTATACGCGTGCATGTCCACGAGTAGTACGGTTAGAGTTAAGCTAATCTACTTCATAGTTCCGTACAGCAGTTCTTAAACGTATGAGTGATTTAATAAATTTCATATCACTCATACTCCGAGTTTTCATACTTGGTCTAGTTCGTTTGATCGAGATTTGTCCAACTAAGTACGGTAGTCGTATAATTGTGGTAACTTTTTGTTAAGTAAGATTTTTCTTTCAGTCAAAAAAAAAAAAAAAAAAAAAAATTAAGAAATCCTGCAAATACACTCATTGTATCTTGTTCGTATCTGATGATTTTGATAATTATTCTTTTGTTGAAATTAATTCCATTAAATAATATGAGTTAATCAAATTATTAATTTGCTTTCACTTAGAATAATTATTGAAAAAGACAATTTAAGAAAACAGTTGCATTCAAAAAAGGTGCTAAATTTCAAGCACACTATGTTTTGGGGGTATTATAAGTTTTATTGGGCCAAAAATTATGTAACACCTCGAAATATTGGTTTCTCACATAGGAAAGTGTATAGCTCACCGAGCTGAGTCGATCTAGCTATGTATGTCCGTCCGTCCGTCTGTCCATGTTAATTTGTAATCAAACTACAGTCGCAATTATGAACCGATCCTCACGAAATTGAGGTGGGGTTATGGTCAGAATAGAACCCTATTGTTTTTGGAGATGATCGCACGATATTTAGAGGTTGAAATGGACCAAAAACAGAAGAATTTCTTGATTTTGCAGTTGCTCTATAGGCCACAATTATGAACCAATCGACATGGAGTTAGAGTTTAGGAGTGGGCAGAAATCTACCAATTTGGGCGGCCATCGGACAATTATTAGCGGGTAAAATAGACCCTAGCTTTTATGTAAGAAAATAGGAAAATTTCCACTGAACCGCGAATATTTTCTACCCAGCCAAATAACAAATACATGAAAAGATCACTTCCGACCATTATAGTGATGATAATAGCCAAGAAAACGGATATATAGGTAAAATATATGTATGTAAAAGAATTGATCTTATTTATTCTGCTTATACATCAAGAACCGCTGGACCGATTTTCACAATTTCCATCAATTCTGAATGGTCCCTTGCCCGAAAACGATAAAATCTAAGAAAATCACGGGGAAATATACCAATAAAAAAGTGAATATCTTTTATCAATTTTTTCAATTTTTGTCATATTTTTTATCGCATGCGATTTTTTCAATTTGACTTACAATTTTGAAATGTAATTTTTCTAAATTTTTACACCCCCCAACACTACGGTTTGAGGGTATTATATGCATATCGCAATTATCGTCCGATCCTCACGAAATTTGGCATGAGGGTATGGTTAGGGTCAGAATTAAAGCCTATTGTTCTTAAGATGTACTTTTAGAGGTGCAAATAGACTAAAAAATGTAATTTTCTAATTTTGTAGTCGCTCTACAGGCCACAATTGAAACTAATCGACACGGAATTTCGCATCGGAAGAGAGTTAAGGACAGGGAAGAAGTCTAGCATTTTTGATGACTGTAAAATGGACCATAACTTTCGTGTGAAATTGTTTTGATTACTTAACAACACTATGTAAATATTGGCCAAATTATCCAGGTAAAAAACTAAGGGTAACCTCCAAAATGGATTTGAATAGAAGAGGGCTTCGAGCATATTGTAGTGTTGTATTGTAGTGCCGCACGACTGTAGCTTTTGCTTACTTGTTTTTATTATTGAGAGAGGATAACATAGTGTTTTGTTGTTGCAAAACTGTCAGGCTTAATCCCATTATTATTGTTTTTATAAGAATGACGATTGTTTATTAGTGGAGAACGATGGTAGAGTTTGCCAGAGGGTAAACATTACCATCGTTGGTATAAAATGTTCAATATATACATTCGTACCCAAATTTTAATGATATTTATTTTGTTCATATGTGATAGGGATAAGATAATTCAAGTTAAGTTGCAGGTTTTGTCAGATTAGCACAACTTGCTTAATTGCCAAACACTGTTCCACAAAGAAGAAGAAAATCATTTGTTGCTCTAATCCGCATAAACCATATTTAGGCATTTTTAGGCGGTTAAAGCCCCACAAACGAAAAACATTTGCAAACACAACAGGAGCAGTTTACCAGGCCAGACAACAGAAAAAAAATAAATGTAATCCACATGAAAGTTACAGGCAGTCACTGCATATACGTTACGTTCTCAAAGAAGGCGCTTAGACAACATATGTAGACAACGATGTTGCCAAGCTTAACAAAAGGAAATAAAACATTTATTCGTTGGGATGTTTGATTACAAGTGAATTGTTTTCTGGCTAGCACAGAAAGTCACAAGCGAAATAGCTATGGATTGACAAATGCTATTGGCAAGTTTCCATTTGTTGTTGTTGTTAGAAATGTTATTTTCTTCGAGCCAAGGGTTAGTCGAACAAAATGTCTGCATAAGAATAAAAAAATATATTTCTATTTTTTTTTTCAAGATTTATGTTTAGCTGCTGTATGGCAAATTAATCCAGGAAGTGAATTTGTGAAAATAAAGAGGAAACAGATGAACAGAATTACAGCGTCATCGTCAACATCATGACATCAGCGACCAAAAACCAATATGGTATCATAGAATCCTAGGCCGGCATTTATATATATATATATTTTTGTTGCTATTCAGCTTCATTGAAAAGCCATTGAATTGATTTTTCGCCGTTTTGAAGAAACCAAGAAGCCAGCCATCGCCAGCGATATGGTTATATGCTTGCCGAGATTGTGGGTTCACAGAGTAAGACATATTTCTTAGGAAATCGGCTAAAGCTTATTGCGCGCTTCTCCGCTGTTTTGTTTTGTTTTATAACATTGCCGAATACAGTTTACCATTGTAAATGATGTTGCCATTGCTGTTTGTTGTCTTTTATGGTTTGTTTATTTCCAATGATCATGACTTTGACTTACCGATGCGACAATTGTCAAGTAGTAACGTTGTATTTTCTCGTAATCCAATGTCTTAGCCACGGTAACCTGTAAAGAAATGAAAAAAAAGCATCAACAATATTAGTAGCTGCAGAAGCGTATTAAAAAATATAAAATGGGTTTATATTCCGACTATGGTATACCTTATATTCAAACTTATTTTGGAGGTGAAAATAATTTTATATTGTTTTAGACGTAGCCCGAATAAGCCATTCCTTGCCCACACTGCTTTATTAACATTTATTGAAAACAAGTTAAAAAGTATCAGTCGGTTTTGACAATAGATGTATGCACTCAGCCTATGTTCGATTATTTAAATATATTTTGACTTCTGTTAAGATTATTCAAAATTGTTAGCCCTCCATTGAGTAGGTTCCGAAAGAATGGGCCAATATTTCCCAGTTCGTATCGGACCAAAATAAATATGATATAAATATTGCGAGGTGCCAGGTTTGGACTATATTGGTTACTTCCTTCACTTTACAGGGTGAGATAAAAAGAAAACTGCAACAAAGTCAAACGCCATAATTTTTTCTTTTTTTTAAGTTTTATTGAATGAAAGCAAAAAAATTTGGGAAATAGCATCAAATGTTAGAATAAGTTTGGATTGTTCGGCCTTCAATCGGCCATCCCCATCACACGCTGCCCGAATGTTGCTCTGCGGTATTTTGGCCCACTCCCGACGATACGCTTGCTTAAGGTGATCGACACTTTGGTATTTCTTAGTGCCAACATTGCTTTCCAAAATACTCCAGACACAATAGTCGAACGGAGTGGTATCCGGAGATTTTGGTGGAAGCGAGGAACCTGATTTTGTAACCATTCTTGGGTGGCGCGTGCTGAGTGCGCAGGTGCTGAGTCCTGTTGGAATGTACAAGGTCTGCGGCCAAAATGTTTGTGTGTTCAAGGCTTTAATATACCGTCCAGAATATTTTCGCGATAATATTCAGCATTTATTCTGATGCCACGGTCGATTAATACGAGCAGAGAGCGACCACCGGCTGTTATGGCGGCCCACACCATCACCATGGCCGGCGCTTGAGTTCTGGTGGCCCACAGAAGGTGTACATTTTAAGCTGATCTCTTTGGTAAGTAAACACGATTATTGTTTGTTTACAAACTGCTGGACAACGAATGTTTTCACATCGGAGAAAACCGAATTCTGCAGTTCACCACTTTCCGCCAAGTGAAGCAACTCTATAGCTCTTTTGAATCTATTTTCTTTCTGTTGCGGTATAAGTTCTTGCACTTTTTGGAATTTTAATGGCTTTACCCCGAGCTCATTTTTCAATATTTGCCGAAGGGAAAATTGCGATATGTTCAGCTCACGAGCCATTTTTCGGCCACTGCGACGCGGATTTCGATCAAGTCGCTTCTTTAATTTTCATACCATTTCTGCTGACGTTGCTGTTTTTTTTCCGTCCACTTCCTTGACGTCGGGCTACGCTACCAGTATCACGGTAACGAGCGATGGTAAGAGACACAAAAGATTTATTCACATTTAATTGCTGTAGTGCTCTAACGATAGCCACTTGTGGTTTTCCAGCCAAATATAAACAAATCACACTATTACGCTTGAATTTTATCACGAGTAACTTTTTCCTGGAAAATTCTTACCAAAAAGCTTTTGTACGCTTGTAAACAATATAATGAGCTGTCATTGGAATAATTTTAACAGCTATTGAACTGGTGGCTTAGAAATGACAGCAGTCTGAATTTGGTTGCAGAGTTTTCATTTCACCCTGTATATCCAATTTTATTCCATTTTCATCTCAGGTTTTTGTTGAGAGAAATATTTAGATATAGCATGTTATGACAGATAAAAGTAGTGAAAATTGTGACCCTTTGTGGGTGAGGTATTAGAAAGGGTTCGCAGATATACGTAATTTTTACGACAGATCTTGTGTTAGTAGAAATAATAGGATGTGTGAAATTTGAAGAGAGTTGGGTGCTTATGTCGCTTCCTTTGAGCGTATTGTTTTTCAAATCTTGAACCCCATGTGGGGGAGGTACCAGAAGAATCGGTCCGATTTCTACCATCTTTGTAACATATCTTGTGTTGACTGAAATATTGAGAGAATGGAATCCGATGTTAATTTCGCTTTTTATGAGGATATTCAAAATTTTGACCCTTTGTGGGGGAGGTACCAGAAGAAGTGGACCGATATATTCCATCTTCCCACAAGACCTTGGGCAAATAAAAATATTATGGTGTGTGGTGTGGAAGACAAGTGGGGTAGGTACTTGATGGAGTGGACCGATATTGTCCATTTTCTCACATGATCACTGAGCACTAATACAAATATTAGGATTCGCAAAGTTGGAGAAAAGTCGGATTATCCTTTCTCTTTCTGTGCAAAAAAGTGTTTTTGTTTGAAAATTTCAACCTTTTGCGGGTGAGCTGCCAGAAGGAGTGGACCGATATAGCCCATCTTCGAACTCGATCTTCATTTAATATCAATACCAATGTTGGACCAAATCGGATACCCTTCGAGAATTATCGTGCACACCACTCAGTTAGACAGACAGACAGACGGACATCGCAAGATCGTCGCCAAATGTCCTTTGATCCAAAGTGACTTAGAATCTAAAACCGTTACATCGGTGATACACGTCTTGGCCGTATCGAATGGTATATACCTTTTCTAGCCAAATAGCTAAGGGAATAAAAATATCACCGGATCCTCAATTTCTCTTACCCAACAAAGTTTGTGATTATGGCTGAACTCCCCGATATATATCAAAACCTCTATGCAATATTATGTATATTGAAATAATTGAAATAACCTACTTCCTCGCCATGTTTTTAAATCCAAAAGGCCATACTTGAACAATCAACAAACATTATCTAAAGCAAATAATCATGATTATATTGCTACGGACATTTCTACTCCTGCTGACTGTTTTACCAACAATAACAACCGTCAACACGCATCTCACTATCACTACTGCCATTGGAAGAAGGCTTCAATCATTAATCATTTAAAAGAATTTATTGTCAAAAGCGTCAAAACACAAACCTCACCATGTGATTGATGTATTAGCTTATCAGAAATAATAGAAAAATCTCTTCTTCCCAGGTACCCACAATCGAAGTGCACACACACAGGCCAAGAAATTGGAAAAAAGAAAGAAAAAACGCAAAGAAGAAGAAGAAGAAGCTCAATACCTAAACACTGGGTATATTGTGGCAAACATAGACAGCACCACCACTTTACATCCACCAGCTGACACAATATCGCCGCCTCTGTCAACTGGCATCAGTGGAAGAAGCATCGAAGAATAATGTTTTTGCTGAGAACGAAAAGCGAAAACCGCCAACGCAATGCTCAACGAAGTTGACAGAAGAGTTGGAAGGAGGAGTAACCGGGAATCCTTGTTATTTTGTTTTTATTTTAATGGCACAGAGACCATAGAGATTCTTAAGAATGTGATATTGGTTTTGTTGGTCTTTTTCCTTCTTCTTATTGTTGTGTGTTTTATAAATTATAGCGAAATTTATTGCTATTGGAGGGTCGAGATTGAGGAAAATTGTCATGACCACAAATATGCAACCTTTCACTCTCATTGCATGAGATTCTGGAAAATCTATGTATAAAAAAAGAAGAGCAGAGTGCAGAGTGACTTTTTTAACTAAAAGTTTACTAAAAATGCTAAAAAGAACTAAAAATTCAGTCAATTGTATTGGGCAAATGGATAATGCTAGAACTCTTTGCAATGATGATTAGTTGGAGGTTATTTGATAATTTCAACTTAAGTGTACTCATTATTCTAAACAGGACTACATTTGGTATCATTTTCTATTATGTAAACCTATAGAACCAAAATCTCGACACTTGTTACAATAATTCATAATTTTATCAAATAAACCTATATATTTTTAAGAAAAATATATCCACGAACTTCCTATCGAAGTCTGTAAATATTTATATACAGGATGAGATAAAAAAGCTGCAACAAAGTCAAACGCCATAATTTTTACATTTTTTGTTTTAAATTTTATTAATTAAAACAAAAATAATTAATTAATTTAATTTAAAATTTAATTAATTAATTTAAAAAAAATATATAAAAAAATGTCGGAAATATGATCAAATTTTAGAATAAATTTAGATTTGTTCGAATTGGCCACCTTTGGCACGAATTATAGTCTTCAAACTGCCAATGAAACCGTCACACGCTGCCCGAATGTTTCTTTGTATTTTGTCCCATTTCCAGCGAAGCGCTTGTTGGGGTGATCGACACTTTGGTATTTTTTAGTGCCAACCTTGCTTTCCAAAATACTCCAGACACAATAATCCAACGGATTGGTATCCAGAGATTTTGGTGGCCATTGTGCACTGGATATGAAGCGAGGAACCTCATTTTGTAATCATTCTTAGGTGGCAAGTGCTGAGTGCGATGAGTCCTGGTGATGAGTCCTGTTGAAATGTCCATGGTCTGCGGCCAAAATGTTTGCGTGCCCATGTTTGCGATAATATTCGACATTTATTCTGATGCCACGGTCAACCCACACCATCACCATGGCCGGCGCTTGAGTTCTGTCAACCAAAATGCCTTTGTAAGCCTGTAAACAATAAATTGAGCTGTCATATGAACAATTTTAACAGCTGTGGGATAAGTGGCTTAGAAATGACAGCAATCTGAAGTTGGTTGCAGTTTTTTAATCTCACCCTGTATTTCCAATAAGTGTCATGACCATGAAATAGCTGAAAACTACCTCTAGCTCAAAATTTTCTACCCTGCAATATTTTCGAAGCAACCAATAAAATCAAAAAAAAAAAAACCTTAAAAACTTCAAATGTAGAATTAAGCTTCTTAAAAGACCTTTAATCCGATTTATAACAAACTCTCTTTTAATTAGGTATGACGCTTCGCAATATCTTGGTATGTACTATAAAAAACGTCAATATATTTTGTTACTGTATTTACGCACGTAAATAACAACTAACAATCATTTGATTTTTCCCGCAAACGATAACAATGTGTTAAAAAGTAAAATTGATTTCTTATCCGCCACGAACATCTTTCTAAACGGCAGATGTTAATACCTTGCAACCACTACTGAGGCTCCCGCACTTTTTCAAACGTAACTCGGAAAAGTCTAGCGATCAATCAATGTAATTGAAATTGATTGATTTCGTTTAGTGGATATATAACAAGAAGATCGAACAATAGTAACAACAACAAAAAGTTAAAAGAAGAGCATCGTAGTAGACCTGAAAGGAACTTTGCTGTTGATTGACGACAATTGCAATAACGAATTTATGGCTATAACGTTGGGTGATCTATTTTTATGGCAAATTGATTTTGATTAATTTCCATCTTGGAAATATTCATAAGGGTATCTTTGGGTTTTTTAGATAGTTTTCCATGACAATGTTGTTGCAGTTGTTGTTGGTTATGTTGGTAACATACCACGATAGTTGCTTGATAGTATCATGTTATGTTGCATGCAATGGTTGTTGCTGAGGCTGCTGCTTCAAAGGTAATAGGTTTCAAGTTCCATTTTTACAACAGGTTTTGCGCCAGCAATACACAACGTAGCCAGCCAGCCAGCTCGTCATTCAGTCAGTCATTGTTAAGTGGCGTCCCTTTGCGAAGACACCAACAAAGCCATCAAGTTATCATCAATATGGTTAATGTAAGCTAACCAATCATCAGGAAAAAATTGTTAGACTTTTTTCTTCCAATTTTTTAGTTTGAAATGTGCAGAATCTTAGTTACTGTGTTTTGTGGTTTGGCTGAGGTATTCAGAGGAGACATTGTTACATTGCCGAGGGTACAATGACATGACAGTGGAGCAATGGTATGCAATGGCAATGGTAAATAAAGTGGCGAAAATATTGTTAAAATGATCCTTGAAAACTTTTGAAAAACTGTTTCAATTTCCTATGCAAATTGGATAAAAGACAAAATAACGATGACTTTTTAAAGAACTAATACCGTATATCGTAGATTTTTTAAAGAACAAATATCGGGGATTGTTTTTTAAGGAACTAATATCGTGGATTTTTTTTAAAGAACTAATATCGTGTAATATCGTAGATTTTTTAAAAGACTAATATCGTATATCGTAGATTTTTTAATGAACTAATATCGTATATCGTAGATTTTTTAAAGAACTCGTGGATTTTTCAAAGAACTAATATCGTGGATTTTTTTAAAGAACTAATATCGTATATCGTAGATTTTTTAAAGAACTCGTGGATTTTTCAAAGAACTAATATCGTGGATTTTTTTTAAAGAACTAATATCGTGGATTTTTTTAAAGAACTAATATCGTGGATTTTTTTTAAAGAACTAATATCGTGTAATATCGTATATCGTAGATTTTTTAAAAAACTAATATCGTATATCGTAGATTTTTTAAAGAACTAATATCGTGTAATATCGTATATCGTAGATTTTTTAAAGAACTAATATCGTGGATTTTTTAAAGAACTAATATTGTGGATTTTTTAAAGAACTAATATCGTGGATTTTTTTTAAAGAACTAATATCGTATATCGTAGATTTTTTAAAAAACTAATATCGTATATCGTAGATTTTTTAAAGAACTAATATCGTGTAATATCGTATATCGTAGATTTTTTAAAGAACTAATATCGTAAAGAACTAATATCGTGTAATATCGTATATCGTAGATTTTTTAAAAAACTAATATCGTATATCGTAGATTTTTTAAAGAACTAATATCGTGTAATATCGTATTTCGTAGATTTTTAAAGAACTCGTGGATTTTTCAAAGAACTAATATCGTGGATTTTTTTTTAAGAATTAATATCGTGGATTTTTTGGTTTTGAACCGTGATCCTCGAAATTAAGTGACTAAAATTGTTGATTTTTAGGATCATAACAGTTAAAAAAAATATATAATAATGGATTTTATTAGGTACTACATTTTGAAGTAATCTAATCGGGAAGATTTAGTCTCAATATCTCGGATTTTTAAAGGTAATGGGGAATTTGTAAGAACATTTCTTCAAAGATCGTTAGCAGATTTTTAAGGGTCGTTAGTGGATTTTTAAAAATATTTTTCAAGGATCTATAAAAAATTTTCCCAAGGATCATTCTATCAAAACTGTATTATTAGAGTTATTAACGTAGCTTTATTAAAACTATTTGCAAGTGTCATTTAAATATTTTTTCAAGAATGATCAAAGCTATAAACGTTGAGTTTTAAAGCTATGTTTTTTAAGGATAGTCAGATCTATAAACATGCATTTTTCAAACTAAATATTTGAGGATAATCAAAACTATAAACGCGGCTTTTTTCAAACATACAGAGTGAGATAAAAAACTGCAACCAACTTCAGACTGCTGTCATTCCGGTGACAGCTCATTATATTGTATAAAAGCGTACTAAAGCATTTTTGTGAGAATTTTCCCGAAAAAAGTTATTCGTGATGGAATTCAAGCGCGATAGTGTGATTTCTTTATATTAGGCTGGAAAACCACAAGTGGCTATCGTTAGATCACTCCAGCATTTAAATGTGAATAAATCTTTTGTGTCTCGTACCATGGCTTGTTACCGTGATACTGGTAGCGTAGCTCGACGTCAAGGAAGTGGACGGAAGAAAATAGCAACATCAGCAGAAATGGTTCGAAAAGTAAAGAATCGACTTGATCGAAACCCGCGTCATAGCGGCCGAAAAATGGCTCGTGAGCTGAATATATCGCAATTTTCCATTTGGCAAACATTGAAAAATGAGTCCTTCCGCTCGTACTATTGCGAAAATATTCTGGAGGATGTATTAAAGCCTTGGGCACGCAAACCGCAGACCTTGGACATTCCAACAGGACTCAGAACCGTGCGATGGTGCACGCGCCACCCAAGAGTGGTTCCTCGCTTCATTTCCAGCGCACAATGGCCACCACAATCTCCGGATACCAGCGTGTGGCGGTTTCATTGGCCGTTTGAAGGTCATAATTCGTGCCAAAGGTGACCAATTCCAACAAATCTAAACTTATTCCAAAATTTGATGCTATTTCCGAAATTTTTTGCTTTCATTCAATAAAATTAAAAAAAGTAAAAGTAAGCGTTTGACTTTCCTGCAGTTCTTTTATCTCCCTGTATAATTTAAGGACAAACGTGGATTTTCTAGACAAACATTTTCAAGGATAATCAGAGGTACAAACGTGGATCTGCTAAACAAACATTTTCAAGCTACAAACGTTGATTTTCTAAACAAAAATTTTCAAGGATTATCACAGCTATAAACGTGGATTTTTTAAACAAAAATTTTCAAGGATAATTACAGATATAAAAGTGGATTTTTTAAACAAAAATTGTTAAGGATAATCACAGCTATAAACGTGGATTTTTTAAATAAAAATTTTCAAGGACAATCACAACTATAAAAGTGGATTTTTAAACAAAAATTTTCAAGGATAATCAAACTATAAAAGTGGATTATTTAAACAAAAATTTTCAAGGATAATCACAGCTATAAAAGTGGATTTTTTAAATAAAAATTTTCAAGGATAATCACAGCTATAAAAGTGGATGTTTGAACAAATTTTTTTAAGGATAATCACGGCTACAAACGTGTAATTTTTAAACAAAAATTTTCAAGGGTAATCACAGCCATAAACGTGGATTTTTTAAACAAAAATTTTCAAGGATAATCACAGCTATAAACGAGGATTTTTTAAATAAAAATTTTCAAGGATAATCGTAACTATAAAAGTGGATTTTTTAAACAAAATTTTTCAAGGATAATCACAACTATAAAAGTGTATTTTAAACAAAAATTTTCAAGGATAATCACAACTATAAAAGTGGATTTTTTAAACAAAAATTTTCAAGGATAATCACAACTATAAAAGTGGATTTTTTAAACAAAAATTTTCAAGGATAATCACAGCTATTAAAGTGGATTTTTAAACAAAAATTTTCAAGGATAATCACAACTATAAAAGTGGATGTTTGAACAAAAATTTTTAAGGATAATCAGAGCTACAAACGTGGATTTTTTAAATAAAATTTTTTAAAGGAAAATCAGAGCTACCAAATGGATTTTTAAACAATTTTTTAAGGATAATCACGGCTATAAATGTGGATTTTTTTAAACAAAATTTTTCAAGGATAATCAGAGCTATAGAAGTGGATATTCCAAAACATATTTCTTCAAAGATAATCAGAGCTATAAACATGAATTTTTAAACAACAATTTTCAAGGATAATCACAGCTATAAACGTAAATTTTTTAAACAACAATTTTCAAGGATAATCACAGCTATAAACGTTCATTTTTTAAACAAACATCTTCAAGGATAATCAGAGCTACAAAAATTTTCAAGGATAATCACAGCTATAAGAGTGGATTTTTTAAACAAAAATTTTCAAGGATAATCACAGCTATAATTTACTAGATTTTTAAATTTATTTTTAAGGATATGAGTGTTTTAAACATATTTTATCATGCTTTATCGAGAATTTTAAAAAAATATTTGTCAAAAATAATCAAGTATTTTTAATAATATTTTTCAAGGATAATCCGCGACTTATTTTTTTCTTAAGGATAATCATCTATTAATAAAATAATGTAACGGTGAATTTTTAGGAATATTTTTTTCAAGGAGAATCAGATATATTTTTTTGCAGAATAGTTTGTAGTGTTCTATAAAAATATTTGTTCAAGGAAAATTGTGTTTTTATTTTAAATATTTTTTAAATGTATTTGTGTATATTAAAAAAATAATATATAAGAAAAATGGCTCGGACTCTTAAAGTTTCTTTTTAAAAAACTAAATCGCGTTTCGTTCGATTTCCATTTAAAAAAATATTTTCAGTTTCTGATTTTTGCCCTCTTTTTCATACAAAAAAGTATCCTCAGTGCATTATGTCCGATAAAAATATCCTTGAAATTTCTATGGAAATCTATTACAACACATCTTTTGAGGCAATCAATTTTCATCTACATCTTTTGTCGTTTCTTTAACTTAATTTTTCCTTGTAATTTCCATTTTAATATCTCTGTTACACTCACCTGGCCTTGATGGGGAAATGATATGGCAAATGTGCCATAACCATCAGCAATTGTCATCTTTTCATCTTCTGTGGTATTTGTGGAGCCCTCGACAATAAAGTACTCAACCAGGCCATTAACACCGGCATCCTTATCCAGGGCTTGAATGTTGCGAAAAATCGTTGTCCCCACTGGAGTGCTCTGCAAAAAAAAAAAACGTAAAAGAAAATATACACACGCACATTAATAAACAAAGAAAAACACAACCGATAATAGAGAGGAAGATATAACGACATGAAGGGAATAACATTAAATCAAGTGTATAAATACCAATTGGTAGATGGGTTGGTTGGTTGGTTGGTTGGCTCGGCGGCTGGTCGGGCCGTCTATTTTGTACTCAACATATAAAATGCAAAAAGTAAATTACTAAGTCAACATAATGGCCTGGCAAATGAACAGGAGCAGGAGCATGAGCAACATCAGAAGCAGTGGCAAAAAAAAAAGAAAGAAACGGTGGACTATGGTCGGTTTGTAGGTAACAGCTCAAATTGTGGTTTGAAATGAAATGAAGCAAACATAAGCTGTCCTTTTGTATTCAATCGTAGGTTTCGCGGTTTTTTTTTGTGCTGTAGGCCCTATGCTGGGAGTATTTTTCATTTTGGTCTCCGGCCACCACATATGCTTCTGTAAATGGTATGAAATCATCAAGTATGTGTGTTTTTTGCTGGTATCTCCACTGATTATATTTTTCTTTTCCCATCATCCTCGTCGTCATCATTTCGTGTGTAATAGAGTGCAAAAATATAAAAATAAATAACCAACCAACAATCACTACAAAAGCAGCAACAACAATAATAATAAAAACAATATGAACACAAATACGTAAATAATAAAAATAACAACAACAAAAACAAAATAGAAAATAAGATGAAGTTGAAAAAAGCGCAAAGCTAACATATTCTATGTATAGCATTTACCATAAATTAATTTGTTGCTTGAGTTAGATGATGCCTGAAGGTAGGAAAGAAAAGCTATCATAGGAAGGAATAGAAAATATGAGGGGCGGATCGATTGTTGAGGGTAACAGTAGAATTTTGAGTTCAGATCAGGATACAAGTTACATTTTTGGGGAACTTGAGAAGGATTTTAATGACAACCTTAAAAAAAAGCATCAGAAACAAATATGAACACGCTATAGAAGAGCATAACCTTTTAAGAGACTTTCATTAAGGTATGTTTAAGTCTTGAGGTTTAAAAAATATGTTTTCATGGGCCACGGTTTTATTGAGAATAGTTTTGCATGTACAACTACAGGATGAAATGAAAAAATTGCAACCAACTTCAGACTGCCGTCATTTCTAAGCCACTCGTCCGACAGCTGTTAAAATTATTCCAATGACAGCTTATTATATTGTTTACAAGCGTACAAAAGAATTTTGTTGAGAATTTTCCAGAAAAAAAGTTATTCGTGATGGAATTTAAGGGTGATAGTGACGTGATGTGATTTCTTTATATTTGGCAGGAAAACCACAAGTGGCTATCGTTGGAGCACTCCAGCATCGCTCGTTACCGTGACACTGGCAGCGTAGCCCGACGTGAAGGAAGTGGACGGAAGAAACAGCAACATCAGCCGAAATGGTTAGAAAAGTAAAGAAGCGACTTGATCGAAGCCCGCATCAGAGTGGCCGAAAAATGGCTCGTGAGCTGAACACATCGCAATATTCCATTCGGCAAATATTAAAAAATGAGCTCGGGGTAAAACCATTGAAATTTCAAAAAGTGCAAGAACATACACCGCAACAGAAAGAAAATAGACTCAAAAGAGCTAAAGAGTTGCTTCGCTTGGCCGAAAGTGGTGAACTGTCGAATTTGGATTTCTTCTTCTTTTGTAAACAAATAAAATGGTAGTGTTTACCTGCCAAAGAGGTCACCTTCGGTTGGCCTCCAGAACTCAAGTACCGGCCATGGTGATGGTGTGGGCCGCCATAACAGCCGATGGTCGCTCTCCGCTCGTATTAATCGACCGTGGCATCAGAATAAATTCCGGATATTATCATTTTGGCCGCAGACCTTGCACATTCCAACAGGACTCAGCACGTGCCACCCAAGTATGGTTACAAAATGAGGTTTCTCGCTTCATTTCTAGCGCACAATGTTTACCAAAATCTCCAAATACCAATCCGTGGGACTATTGTGCCCAGAGTATTTTGGAATGCAAGGTTGACACTAAAAAATACCAAAGTGTCGATCACTTCAAGCAAGCGCTTCGCCGGGAATGGGCCAAAATATTGCAGAGCAATATTTGGGCAGAGTGTGACGGTTTCATTGGCCGTTTGAAGGCCATAATTAGTGCCAAATGTGACCAATTCGAATAAATCTCAACTTATTCTAAAATTTGATGCTATTTCCGACATTTTTTGCTTTCATTCAAAAAAATTAAAAAAAAAAAATTAAAAATTATGGCGTTTGACTCTGTTGCAGTTGTTTTATTTCACCCTGTATTGGAATTATAGACATGGATTATTAATTATTTTCCATGGACTATTCATAGTAAAACGTGTGTATTTTTTAAGAATAATTTGAAGTAATGGTTGTATATTTATAGAAATGCTCTTGAGGGACTATGAAAGTTATACTCTTGGATATTTTTTACAATACAATTCGGGAAACCATGATTATTTCATAATGAAACAGTATTGACATTATTATGAAGTTTCAACGAATGTTTGTTTGGGGAACTACCAAGTCCAATATTTTGGATTTATTTCTATAATCCTGAATTTTTAGAATGCCATCAACAGGACTTTAAGCTTTACAGCCACTTTATGTTTTTAATGTTTGTCGCGAAAGCATTTATGAAGATTTTTGAGGGAAAAATTACTAAAGGATTTTCAATACCAAAACCTTGTATTTTTCTAAATACCTTAACGATCTTCTAGCATTTCTTATATAACTTCTTCTTCCAACTGATTAAACTTCACCCATACCACTTTTCTCTAAACAAAGAAGGTTGCCTTACTCGATTCCATGTCGAAAATATGTTGGTTGCAGCTGCTGCTACTATTGCTGTTGCTGCTGCTTTATGTTCTTGTTGCTATTACTATTATGACTGTTATTGCTGTTGATGTGGCCAATGCATATTTGCTGTCCTCCTGGAGAGTGTCTAAGAATGTCCCTTATTTCATGTAAAGGGCGACATAAGAATGTTAGTTTGATGTAGGACGCTTTACATGGCAAGTCAAGCGGCGGGACCAACAGTGCCAGGCACAAACTCACCAGCCAACACATTGCTGATAGCATACGGCTGGAATCCCATCCCCAGTTGGCTAACTAAGCTATTCTCAAACATGACACACACTCAGACACAATATAGATAGCTATACACTCGCATAAGTATTTTAGGTGGACAGTAGGAGCTGGAACAAATATTAATCAGTTTTGAAAATGTGTTGTGTGTTGGAATTCTTAAAGTTCAGTCATTTTCAGTTTATTGTAATGACAATGGACTTGACTTGTCTTGGGCAACCAACCACCAGGCGACTTAAATTGGTATTCTAGTTGGCTTTTTCTTTTGGTCAATTCTGTTTTTTTCTTCTCTTGTATTTTTACAATGCCAAGTTGTGTTTACTCCATTGACCGCATCGAGTTGATTGTTGTCATAAATGGTTATAGTGTTAATCATGCCTGATTCTCTGGCCATCCATTTAAAGGCAAAAGTGTTTGATGAAAATAATTTCTGCTGTTTTTAGCATTTTGATGATGGCAGCTATTCGAAGGGAATGTGTTTGGTTTGTCTATTTGGTAGCGAAAAATAATAATTAACTTTGAATTTTACAAATTGTTATTGTTTTTTTTTTTTTGTGCCAACGTTGTGATGAGAAGTGGAGAGAGTACTTCATGGTGTTTTTCCATGACTCAAGAAATGTTTTAGAGAAGAAATGGAATTCTTGGTCAGATCTATAATAATGACACGATATACACATTTAGTTTAGTAAACACTAATTAACAAATTTTAGTAAAGCCAGATGCTGAAAATACGTTTTAGTCATTAAAACAAAACATTATAGTTTTAATTATTTCTTTCTTCACTTTAAAATTGTAAACTTTCGTGTTAAAAAAAAGACTCAATAAATTTGAATTGAATTGAAAATTGACACTATCAGAGAAGTAATGGCGGAGTTTTACATACTCGCATTCATATTTAGTGGATTTTTATAGTCACAATTTTGTTTTTTTTTTTTCAAGAATAAGAAATCTTTAAAAGTAGATATTGAAGTAGCGTTTTTGAGTCACAATAATGAAAATACTAAGTTTATGTTGAATTCAGTTTTAATAACAGTTTTTGGGAATTTTGGTGTTTAATCGTGGCTTTTTATACCCTCCACCATAGTATGGAGGGTATATTAAGTTTGTCATTCTGTTTATAACACCTTGAAATACACATCTTAAACCCCGCAAAGTATATAAGTTAATGTTAGAAGTTAAAGTTTATTTCACACTGCTATGGTGTTTCTTTATTTTGTTACTAACATTTATGTTGCGGTGCTATGCACCTCTCTTGTTGGATTTACAATTATGAATTAGCTTCAACTTAAAACTAATATTATACTGCAGCCTGGTCGTGCTCGTTATTACGCTGAGTCATCACTTGCGGTGCGCTGGTATTAGTGCGCGTGTTTGTGGCGGATGACTGCCCTGGTGTCATATTCCTGTTGATTTGTCGGACTGCTTGCGCACTGCTTGCGCAGCATAATGATGGGAATGTTTACTAGTTGGTTTGCATATTTAGTTTGATGTTTATTAGGGTGAGCCGTTAACTCCTCCCTCTCGAATTATCAAGCGTCTCGATTGATGTGTTTAGAAATATGGCAGATTATAAAGACTGCCGCGTTGATTCAAGTTAATATTGTGGTTTGCTAGTTGTTTTGTCTTGATAACAGATTCTGTTGTGCCGGCTGCCAATTGGCTTTCTGACACAGTCATTTCTATTTGAGGTCTAGACATTCCTTCATGTGGGGTCATTTTTATAATTTTCATACTAGTTTTGCGCCTTTGCCTCATTTTTACTGCCATCAGGAGGATGACCAATGCTAATATGAGACTGATGTTAAAACATAAACTGGTCTTGAATTCAGTATTTAGACGCTCGATTCTTTTATTACTTTTCACGTGCAACGTTTTTAGTAGTTGTAGAGATAGTA